AATGTGATACAAAAGATAATGGGGGGGGTGTCCAGATGTATTTGAATCTCAAATATTTGAATTAGGATATGCTTTCTCTCCCTGAACTTTGACCTCTCTGCTATTTTAAGTCAGGTATCTCCAATTTTTTATACTCTGTTTAATGAGTAAGAAGAGAGTAGCTTCATAATTATATATCTACTTGTATCTACAACTTTGTGACTTTAACCTATGCCCATGAAAATATATCATTTCCAGTTATCACTGGGCAAAATAGTCTTCCTGCTTTTGGACAATACTGAAATAAACTTATCCCCCAAATTTTAAAACATGTTTTGGGGCTGGTCGAGTGGCTCAGTTGATTAAGAGCTTGCATCAGAATCGTTGGTTCGATTCCCACATGGGCCAGTGATCCGCGCCTGAGCTGAGCTGCTGCTGGGCTGCCAACAGGTGGCAGGATGGCTCAGCTGGTGAGAGCACATGCTCCTAACAACAAGGTTGCTTGTTCGAGATGGTGGGCTACTCCCACCCGCAACTAAGACTGAACTCAGCACCTCGAGCTGAGCTGCCCCCAGATGGCTTAGTGGATAGAGTGTGCACTCTTAACAACGAGGCTGCTGGTCCAACTCCTGCATGGGATGGTGGCTACGCCCACCCACAACTACTGTAATTGAACACAGCACCTTGAGCTGAGTGGTATGACTAGACTTGGAGCTGAACTTGTTGCACCCTCCAAAACTAAGATCGAAGGACAACAACTTGGCTGTTCCCTTTCCCCAATTCCCCAACACTGTTCCCCTCCCCAATTCCCCAATAAAATCTTTAAAAAAAATAAAAACCAAAAAAGCATAAAACAAACAAACAAAAACATGTTTAAAGATCTCTTTCTTGTTTTTAGATATATGAATCCTGAGACATTAAAGAATTATTCTGAAAGCAAAAAATTTCTTACCTTTATTAGAAAAGTATTTCTCAATTGGGTATATAATACTAAAAAGGAAAAAGGGATCCTATCAAGGTACGTGCTTTTGAATCTTACTAGAAATGTTATTAATTTGAAACTCTCTTTTTGTGTTTTTAAATTTATAGTCTGAATACTTTCCAAAATGTTTTCAGGTAGTTTACAGCTAAATTACTTACATACATAGAAAAGTTACTTAAAGAGAAAAAGAGATAATANTTTAAAGCAGTGGTTGTCAAACATTAGCTGCAGCAAAATCGTGGAATGTGTTTGTAAAAACACAGATTGCTTCCCTGTACCCCCGAGTTTCTGATTTAATAGGTCTGTGGAGGGATCTCAGAATGTATGTTTCTAACAATTCTCAGGTGTTCCTGGTGCTACTGGGGGACATTCAGAACCATTGGTTTAAAGTGTGACCATATATTATAAACTGTTAACAATGCCATGTAAAGGTAAAGATGTGCTATAACTCCTTTCCCCCAAAACTGGCAATTATTTTACATTCTAGATAACTGTGCAAATGTTGAGGAAACTCATCTGAACATTTTCTGTATCTAGCAAATTTTCCATGATTTTCCAATCCAAACTGGTACATGAATTGCTCGAGGTTTATGCTAAACAATATGTTAATATTCATGTTTTTTTTTTTGGTTTTGATTTGTGTTTTATTTAGTTGAGCCAAGGAGAAGCAACAAAACAGCCAAAGATGAAATGTCCAAACTGTAACCAGGAAATAGATGAGACCCTTAATATTGAAGGAATGGACCTGGCCAACAGGCGTCTCTTGTCAGCACAAATAGTACTTTATTTTATACTTTTAAATTATTTTTCTAAAATTATACTGAAAATATTCTCTTTTGTTGAAGACATCTTGATTATTAACCTGCATAGCTTAATAGATCATTTATAAAGGAAAAGGGAAGTTTGGCATTGTCTTAGAAATCTGCTTGACTGCAAAAAAAAAAAAAAGAATCCACCCAAATAAGCTTAAGTAAAAGGTGTTTAATTATGAGAAACTGGGAATTTCACATAGCCCAATGACAGGAATTACAACTGAGCTTAACCTTCAGATGTGTTATGCTGTTGGTTCCGTGACACTGCCCATCTCTGCCCATCATATCAGTTTTTCATAAAATGATACCACCAAGTTCACTAATGACTGCAGGGAGAAGGTGGTAGGTTTCTGTGTAAAATCTTGGGTAAAAACTAAAGAAATTCTGTAACATAGAAGCATGTAAGATTCTAGGAAATTGCAATAGCTTAATAAACATTTTTTTATCCAGGCCAGGATTTTGACTAGTTGCCATGATCATCCTCTCAAAATGTTCATTGTTGGGCCTTCTTTATGCTATGGTTTTTTTTGGGGGGAAAAAAAAAAAAAAAATATATATATATATATATATATATATATATATATATATATATATATATATTCCATGTACCTTTTTGGTTTCTTGCCTTAAGTGTTTGTTTTCTACTATTATATCTGTGTTGATTTTGTGCCATGTGTGGTTCTTGATCAGGAAATTCTGTTTTTCCAAAGTAGGTTGGATCTCTCTGCTCTGTTCTCCAGATGCTCACCTCACCTTCTTCATTCTAGACATATTTTCATGTTTATGTTGGTTTGGTTTCTGCAATCTCAATTCTAACATTAATATTAATTAGTCTATTATAGTTTTTCAAAGGTTTGAGAGGGCTTATTTAAATCTCAGCCAGTTCTGGTTAACTGGAGAAACACTCTACTATTTTTCATTAGAAGACGAAACGCATCATGGTAAGACATGGCGTAGAAGAGGGCAGCCTACCACCTGGGGGAAAGGAGAGACAGGCTTTATATTTAGAGAGAGCTGAGTTTTAATGTGATCTTGGGAAAACTATTTAACTCCCTGGGCCTCGGCTTTCTCATCAATAAAATAGTGTTCAGAATACCTTCCTCATAAACGTGTTGTAAAAATTAAATAATTTTATGTAACACACACACACACACACACACATATATATATATATATATATATATATATATATATATATATATATATATATATAAATCAGTTAATTCAATAGTATAGTAGAGAACTCAATAAATGGCAGTTATTTTTAGGAATCAACCATTTTCTTAATTCTCCTTACCTTTTGGTGTGAACGATAATTTAAGAATTAACATTTTTCTAGTAACTAAATGTTTTGTCATTTGTGTTGCTAAGCTTTCATGAATTCCGTATTATTTTCAGTTGCCTTATTTTCCATAAACTACAATGTTTATCTTTGAGGATAAAGATTTAAACCTTTCATTGTATTTTAATTAAATTTTTGGAGGAAAGTGCTACTCTGTTGAATTCCTATCATTACAGGTAAATAGCCTTTGTTCCCTCATCCTCAAATTTAGTTGTATCTCTTTCTAGTTAATCCCCAAGATATTAAAACCATGTTTGAATACCCATAAATTATTGTGCAGACAGAATATCTTCTACAGAACCCAGGAATCTTTAGTTATATATTCCAGTTTTGGAAGTTGGTCCGTACAATGAATCTCAACAGTGTTCAGCACACAGAGGCCAGGGGCAGTGCCAGACAGTGGCTTCCCCAGCATGAAGCAATAGTGCCTGAAGCAGGATGGGTGTGCAATATACAGACTGAATGAATGAGTGAACTGTCCTGCACAACAGNTGCTCCACTCATTCACACTTCTGTGCATTTGACCAAGCTGCTCCTTTTGACTGAGATGCTCTTGCCTTTCTCCTTTTGCCTCTCAAAGCTAAGCTGTAAACTGCTTTTACTTTTCTCTCTTTTTTTAGACTACTTGAATGACTCACTAAGGTGAAAGACTTCCTAATCCTCCCAGGCACATCTTCCCAAGACACATCCTCCCTTAATACTTAGCATACACTTGTAATGATTTCTTTAGATGCAAGTCTCCACAGAAAGCAGTGAGTTCCTCAAAGTCAGGGTGTTCGGGAGTACCCTCAGAGCATCCCCTATGGATGCGCTGGACATACCTGGACATACCTTCTTGTTCTGGTCCAAAACCCTGGTAAAAAGGACACTAAAATTCTCTGCTCAAATGATCCTAAATTCATTTCTAGGGTCTTCTTGGATCTTTTCCTCTGGGCCATCATCTCACAAGCAAACTGGGCTTTTGGTATACACACCCCAAAACCTAAGAGGTGTGTCAGCCTTCTGTCCACTCACAGGTACCACGTGTGGTACAGGGAGAGGTAAAGCCATGTGTGGGAAGAGAAGAAGCCAGACATAGAGCATGTTCTCATTATAGTTCTAGTATAGATTTCCAAAGATTCTAAGAGTTTTAATTTCAAGCCTAGCCATACAAATCAATCATTATGACATTATATTTGTCAAGAGAGGAAGATAAAATATCTTATTTAAAATTTTGGTTTCTTGATTAATAACATTTAAATATTTCATGTGTGGTACAAGGGACTCCATTTGCCCTCAGGCCCTTCAGATGCTTAGGTGTTAGGGGAGTTTGATAAGAGGGCTGGGCAAACATGATCAATTTAAGATAATATGATGTGTATTTGAAAGAAGACAGACACAATGTGCAGTGGAAGCTTTTGAAAGAATGAATAAATTACATGTGGAAAAGCATTAACACTGCATTTTCCAAGAGAGGTTAATGTAAAAAAAAAAACAGCACAGAGCAATTCAGCCCACGGCCTTGATTTTTCCTCTTTTCACAATATCACAGAATTTTAGGATTCATAGGAGCTTGTGAAATGATCATTTCTTAGGCTTAGATAGTAATTCCTTCAGGAAGGTTTCCTGATTCCCCAAGACTATATTAAATGCCATCCTTTGTTGGTCCAGTATGTCCTCTTATTTATTATCTCTGCGGTAACACTTAGTACACTTTACTGCAATTGTTATTGCCATGTTTTATTCTACTAGTCTGCTGGATACTTGAGGCCAGTATTTATTTGTTTTATCCCCAGCACTTAGCAAGCATAATAAGTGTTTGAGAAATATTTTTTAAATTTGGAATGAATCAAGTCATATAAACATTCATCNTTTCAGTTTTCCTGACTTGCTCCACTCATTCACACTTCTGTGCGTTTGACCAAGCTGCTCCTTTTGACTGAGATGCTCTTGCCTTTCTCCTTTTGCCTCTCAAAGCTAAGCTGTAAACTGCTTTTACTTTTCTCTCTTTTTTTAGACTACTTGAATGACTCACTAAGGTGAAAGACTTCCTAATCCTCCCAGGCACATCTTCCCAAGACACATCCTCCCTTAATACTTAGCATACACTTGTAATGATTTCTTTAGATGCAAGTCTCCACAGAAAGCAGTGAGTTCCTCAAAGTCGGGGTGTTCGGGAGTACCCTCAGAGCATCCCCTATGGATGCTCTGGACATACCTGGACATACCTTCTTGTTCTGGTCCACAACCCTGGTAAAAAGGACACTAAAATTCTCTGCTCAAATGATCCTAAATTCATTTCTAGGGTCTTCTTGAATCTTTTCCTCTGGGCCATCATCTCACAAGCAAACTGGGCTTTTGGTATAAACACCCCAAAACCTAAGAGGTGTGTCAGCCTTCTGTCCACTCACAGGTACCACGTGTGGTACAGGGAGAGGTAAAGCCATGTGTGGGAAGAGAAGAAGCCAGACACTACAGCATGTTCTCATTATAGTTCTAGTACAGATTTTCAAAGATTCTAAGAGTTTTAATTTCAAGCCTAGCCATACAAATCAATCATTATGACATTATATTTGTCAAGAGAGGAAGATAAAATGTCTTATTTAAAATTTTGGTTTCTTGATTAATAACATTTAAATATTTCATGTGTGGTACAAGGGACTCCCTTTGCCCTCAGGCCCTTCAAATGCTTAGGTGTTAGGGGAGTTTGATAAGAGGGCTGGGCAAACATGATCAATTTAAAATAATATGATGTGTATTTGAAAGAAGACAGACACAATATGCAGTGGAAGCTTTTGAAAGAATGAATAAATGACATGTGGAAAAGCATTAACACTGCATTTTCCAAGAGAGGTTAATGTAAAAAAAAAACAGCACAGAGCAATTCAGCCCACTGCCTTGAT